TTTGGCATTCGGCCGTCCATTCAAAGGGGTTGGCTTTCTTCATGATCTGGAAAAATGGAATAGCTCGATCGGCTAGTTTGGATAGGAATCTGCTCAGGGCTGCTAACCGACCGGTCAATCTCTGCACTTCTTTGAGATTTCTTGGAGCCTCCATATCCACAATTGCCTTTACCTTTTCAGGATTGGGCTCAATCCCCTTCTCGCTCATCATGTATCCCAAAAATTTGCCCCCTCTTACAGCAAAAGCACATTTTTTGGGATTCAGCCTCATGTTTGCTTTCTGCATTATCCCGAACACCTTTTCTATATCCAGGACATGATTTTCCTTCTTCCTGCTTTTGATCAGGATATCATCAACATAAGCTTCCATTGTGACCCCCAACACTTCTTTGAACAGCATCCCGATCATGCTTTGAAAAGTTGCCATTGCGTTCTTTAATCCGAATGGCATGACGATATAGCAAAACACACCATCCGAAGTAACGAACGCCGTTTTCTCTGCATCAGCCGGGTGCATGAATATCTGATGGTAACCTCGGAAAGCATCCATGAAGCTCAGCAATTCACATCCGGCAGTTTCATCTACTAGCAGATCGATCCTCGGTACTGGATAGGGGTCCATGGGGCAAGCTTTATTCAGATCCGAGTAATCCACGCACATTCTCCAAGTAGATTGTTTTGGGGCTAGAACCACATTCGATAGCCATTCTACGTGGATTACTGGACGGATGTGCTTTATTTTCAGCAAGGTGGCCACCTCCCGCTTTGTGAATTCCCGCCGTTCGGTTGCTTGATATCGTTTCTTCTAGGGGTGGGCATAACGGTTCGGTTTGACCGAACCGAACCGTACCAAACCGAATTAAACCGAACCAAAACCGAACCATTTGTAATTTGGTTTGAGTTTGGTAGTATTCCTCCCAACCCGTATTAAACCGAACCAAACCGAACCGAAATTATAATACCGAATAAAACCGAACTAATCTAAAAATGAACTTATTTGATTAAAAACTGAATAAAACCGAACAAATCATAAACTTATTTTTTTAAAATAACAAATCAAAACCAACTTACACCAAACTAAACCAAACCAAAATATAAGATTTCTCTCATTAAATTGATTGATGTTAATCTTTTGAAGCTTTAATTCTTTAATTTTAGTGTTCAGGACTAGAGTTTACTACAAGAGTTACATTCACAACTATAACAATTATAGTGGTTTAAGTAGATAGTATTTAACTAGAATTTATTATCTACTACTACTATATATTTGGTTCATTACTTACAAGCACCCGTTTTGTTTTTTTTCGGCTTTATATATAATTTGATTCATTTCCGTTGTTGTTGTTGCTTACAAATGTGTCATGCTTATATTTTTTGGGTTCATATGTGTTTTGTTACTGTTTGCAAATTTATATCTAACATTATATATGGTTCATTACTATCGCTTCTTGGTTCATTATTTTGAGTTAATTTTTTTTCAATCCAAACCTTAATACTTTGGTAAACCGAACTCCAAACCGAACCGAACCATACCAAACCGAAACCAAACCGAAACTTAATCGGTTTGTATTTGGTACATTTTCTATCAAACCGATTAAACCAAAACCGAACCGAAACCGAAGAAAACCGAACCGAAAACCGAAATGCCCACCCCTAGACTTTCTTCTGCTGGACTGGTTTTGCATCAGGCCGAACGGCAAGTTTGTGACATATTATCTCCGGGTCAATACCGGGCATATTTTCTGGCCCCCGGGCGAATAATACCTGAAACTTTTTTAGGACGGCAATCACGCCATCCCTGATGTCAGCCTCCAGATCTACCCCGATAGCTACCTTACGGTTCGGGGGGAAATCCAGGTCGATTTGTTCAAGAAGAGTGGCGAGTTCTGGGTGCGCCTCGAACTCCGTTCGGTGAGTTTCCACCTCAATTGTATTAACCCGCATCCCACGAGTGTTCATCTGTTTTAGGGCCTCTCGATAACATGTTCGGGCTGTCGTCGGATCAGTTCTGGCCACCCCAACCCCGGTGTCAGTAGGGAATTTGATGCATGAGTGGTGGACAGAGGCTATTGCCTCCAGATCTTCCAATCCCGGTCGGCCCAATATGGCACTGTGGGCACATTTTATATCCACCACCACGAACGTCATTCGGAGTGATGCTTTGTGCGTTTCATCCCCAATTTCAACCATCAATTGGATGGTCCCCTCAGCCTCAATGCAATTACCGGTGAAACTTGCCAGTGGGGTCCGTAGGTGGGTCAGTTGACTTCTTTGTAGACCCATTTTTTCGAATGATTGTAGATACAATACATTCACACTGCTCTCGGTATCGATCAGTACTCGGCGGATCAAAGCATTGTCAATGCACATGCTCACCACCAGTTCATCCCTGTGTGGGCTTGGAGAGTTGGGTAAATCAGCTGGCCCGAACGTGATCGGGTCCGTCCTTCCTTTCTTTTGGGGGGGAGCGGAGATGGATCCCACATAGAGACTTCGCTCGAACCTTTTCCGTTCGGCGTTCGAATCCCCTGTCTCCCCGCCCCCGAATATAACCTTGACCTCCATTCGAGGTTTCTTTCCAAGGCCTCCCGAGCCCTCTGGTTCATCCCTGGGGGGAATATATACGTCATTTTGAGGCTGGGCATCACGTTGGGCATCCCGACGCCAGTTATTAGGTTTCCTGATTGGTTTCAACGTGCCCACAACACTTGGATCCTTATTCACATATTTGCCCAGATGACCCCGTCGGATCAAATCCTCGATGGCTGTTTGTAGGGCCCTGCAGGCGTTGGTGGCATGACCCTTCCTGTTGTGATATTTACAGAAAGCAGAGTCATCCGCTCCCATAAACTGTGCAGAATCAGTCGGGAGGAGAATATTGTCCCTCTCGTGCTGATAAATGGTCGCTACTGATAGGACCAGGGGAGTAAATCTCCCTTGCTTGGGAGGTATAGCGGCCGCTGGGCTAGGACCCAGCCGATCGGCCATTCTGATCGGGGCAGCAGGCGCAATGACCTTATCCCTGATCATTATCTCCTCTTCTAGGGCAGCATGCTTGCGAGCCCTGTCTAATACCTCGGCGTATGCTGTACCCGGATTTTTCTTCAGATCCTTGTATAATTCCCCCGTTCGGAGAGCGTTCGTGAATAGGGTAATGGCAGTATCATCCATCATGTTTCCCACTGTCAGAGTTTCATCCCTCCATCTTTTCAGGAATTGATTGAGGGTCTCTTTGACGTTCTGCTTCACGCTGGTCAGATAGCTGAAGTGCCGTTTGGGATTGGCACTGGAAGCAAACTGGTCCAAGAATAACGCCGATAATTCGGCGAAACTGTTGATTGACCCAGGTTGGAGTGTCCCGAACCACTCCTGGGCGGGCCCTCTGAGTGTACTAAAAAACAACCGACAAATAGCAACCTCGGGTGCTCCTAGCAGCATGAGTCCCCCTTGGTAACTCCTCAAATGCACATGGGGATCTTCCACCCCATCATAGATTTGGCCGGTCGGTGGCTTGGCACCCCCTTGGATGTCTGCGTACATGAGTTCCCTGGTGAAAGGGGAAGTAATTCCCAGCTGAACTGGGGCAGGTTGTACAGGCGCCCTGTTCATCTGATCCCGCATCTCGTTCATCTGCCTCCTCATCTCGGCCATTTCTTCCTCCTGGGCCGTCAAAGGGGGCGGCGATGGAGCCCTCATGTTCGTATAGTCCCGGTCCCAATGCCGTTGAGCGGACCTGGTATTACCCCTCTCGGCATACTGGAAATGATGACCAATGGGAGTTGGTCCCCTAGCTTGTGATCCGATCGGGGTTCGGTCGCTGGGACTATGATGCGCTGTTGGTGGGGCGCTACAGCGATTATCCCGATGGGCATGCGAACGGGATGACGCTGTGGTTGTTTCCGTGCGTGGAGTCTCCCCTGTAAAGTTGGACCCTCCTTCCTCCTCGTTCTCCATATGCTGCATGACCTGGGCCATATCTCGCATGGCCTGAGGATTTCTTCTCAGAGATTTGGGAATCACAAAATCCCCATCAAAACGAGGATACGATCCTCGGCTGGATTGTCCCTGAGGGTTTTGACTCCCCGGGGTGTGACTCCTTCCGTGACGGCGTGAACCGTCATTTGTATGATAGGAACTGATTCTGACCATTTTTGAAAATAGTGGTTTTTTGGATGATTTGAATGTGATACTTTTTGTAAGTTCCCACAGACGGCGCCAATGTTGAGGGTAAATCCCGTAGATCCGAAAGCCCAACACGAACTTTGGATATATCAGGAATGATACAGAATCAAAGTGTATAAACAAAATATAAGATCTGAACTCACTAATACTCGAAAGCTCACTTGTATTAACTAACCAGTCTGATTACAAGGAATTTCCCGATCGGTAGGTCGGAAACAATGCTTTAATATAAGAAATAAGAGCAATGATGCTATTCTAGAGCTTGAGTATTGAAATGCTAACCCTTACAATGATTTTAAACCTTCTATTTATACTAATGGAGAGCATGGGTTGCCCTATGCTGATTGGCTGTTGTTCCACCGACTTGGTCACCCATGTTTCCACTTGCTGATGTCACAATCTGGCATTGATTGCACCTGGTCACTTGTCGGTTGTCCGTTGCGTGAACAGGATGTTTGGACTATGCTGAAGATGCTGTCAAATTGGCCCAAGTATGATATATAGCCCGAACTCCGTTCGGTGTATCTTCTTACTGGGCCAACCCTTATTTGGGCCGAATCTCGTTCGGCATGAATTCTTCACTGGATCTACTCATCATAGAGTGATGGGCTCGTTGTTTGGGCCGGGTATCTTGGGCCTTCTTAATCCGGGTATTGGGCCTCTGGATCAATATCCCAACAAGGCTCTTAGTAAAAAAGTTGACTAAAAAGTGAAAACCGAAAAACATGATTATCAAATGGGTTCTTTTTTTTATCATTTATCAAACCGGTTCTTAAATAAGACATATACAATTTGTTTTGGAAAAATTTGACCGCCTAAAAAAAATATATTTGGCATTTCCATTCCATTTTGGCGGCATTTGTAAAACTTTCACCGCCTAAAAATTTTAGGGAAATTTTCAGCGCCTAATTCACCGACTAAAACTCCTAAACCTAATTTTCGGCCCCAGAATCTCCATCTCTCTATCGCTCTGCTCGAATCAGTGTGGGACGCAGCTGCTTTCAATCATCGGGTAAGTTATTCAAATCCTAAAAGAGATGTACTCTCAGGAATATAACACCCTCACTCACAATCGCAGGTTGTATTTCATGTTATATTCGAATTTAATGAATTTTATCTGATATTTCTACAGTTGTATTAATGATTTTAATTAGTTTGTATTGTTGGAGGTAAAATGAAAATAGGCGGCTGGTTTTTGTTGCAGGTTGCTGGTTTTTCGATTCCTCTACTTTTTTGTTTCGTAGTTTTATATAGTTTTACATACCATTTGGTGGATATGAGTTACAGAGTCACTATACTTAATCACTGTAAATGTGTTCTCTAATTTTTGTGCACCAAGGGATTCAACAAGAAACGTATCATACCAATCATAACATGCTTCAAACAGTAAGGAAACAAAAATGAATCAACATATGCAGATTGAAGTAAACAACAAGTATACACAAATTCTTGTGTATATACATATAGTTTCATAGTAATCAATTCATCTATGCTCTATTTTATAATCTGCTAGATTAACAAATTAGACTGAGTATATGTTGACCGGGGTGTTATTCATTTTGTTTAGGAGAAGACATGTCTTCACGGGCTTCTGTATCGCGCGGTATTGGTCGCCCGATTCGTGGTCGTGCAAATAATGGTGCCGTTCTTGGTACTGGAAGAACCCGAAACTATTCAGGGGAGCAAATAACTAGCCAGAATATTCATCACTCACCCAAAACCCCCCCATCAAATGCAAGTGGCTCGTTTGTTTCAAATGCCATGGATGAACCATTTACGCAGCCTAATGTGACACAAGAAAGTGTCCCACGCACACAGCCCCGCGATCACATTGTACTCGGCGAGTAAGTAATTTATTTGAAAGATCCAATTATTCTTATACTGGTTTAACTATAAATGCGGTTCATAAGTGTTTGTTATTAAAATTTCATCATTTTTTGTAGTTTGAAAGTAAATGATAAAGTGAAAAAGTCTTTGGAGACTATTGCCACAAAGTTGTTTACCGGATGGCCACCCAACTATGGAAATTTAGAACCAAAGGCTCGCGAAGCATACATTAATCAATTCTCGGTAAAAACTTGTAATATTTTTTTGCAGTTTTTAGTTTTATTTTCTAACTATTATGGTTGGTATGCTGGAAGAATATAAATGGGCACCGTCAGATAATGGGCTAATGATTTCCAAACTTCATTCAAAGTTTAGTACTTGTTATACGGCACGGATGTCAAATATCAGACAAAGTGCTCAAGATAAAATTCCAGATTTTCTTAATGACCAAGATTATACTAGATTCATTCCCTTTTGACCAGAGCTTGTAACCCCTCAGACATGGGTTAAATTATGCAACTTCTGGAACTCTGATGAATGGAAGAAGAAGTCTGGAATTGCAAAGCGTAATCGTGTTGGTAAGATAAAACATCAAGTTTGCATTAAGTCTATGAAATTAAGGTGGCACAGTTTAGACAGTTTGATTGAGCTTTTATTTAAATAAATATAACTATTGTCTAGTGAAGTTTAGACAATGAAAGCTACAATAAATATGTAGGAAACCTTGGTGATGGAGAAGTTACTGCTAAGACAAAAGGAAGAAAGTCGAAAGAGGATTTGTATTCTGAAATCGTATGTAGTTAAAGTTGTTTTACGTTGATTTGTTTTGAATGTGATATATTGTGTATGATTTCTGCTTAATATTTTATTTTATTAATAGGCGTTAAAACTTGGCCGAAATCCCACAATGGAAAAATTTAGTGATAGGCGGTGTACAATTGACCCTACAACAAACCAACCGCATCCAACAACATTTGCTCGTTACTTGGTATGGTGATAGTAAAAAAGTAATTTTTGGTGTGTTCTACCCTTTATCCTTCTAAATGTTCAGCTAATTATTATTTGTCATTTGTTAATATTATTTGGGAAGAGCAGATTTTTGTATGAAAACACCCATACTGGAGAAAACTCAAACAATAGATGGAATCTCAGTAAATGAGGAAATTGTGTTATAGTTTTATTTACTTTAATACTCTGTTATTCATAGTCTAATTTTATTGTAGGCGAGATATCGTGAATGCATGGAAGAAAAATATGGACCAGACCGGGCACAACATCCGACGTTTGACTATGAGATATGGATTGGAATTACTGGTCCTCCAAAAAAGGGACGATTAGTTGGCGTACCAGAACAATTATCTCATCCTCATTTGTTTCATCCATCTAAACCACAGGAGGTGATACACTATTGTGTTAAATTCTTGTATCTCTGCTTTTGTTTATAACATAGATAATTGTTATAAATTCTTGTATCTATGTTTTTGTGTTAATAAACATCAACTCGATACTCCAGTTGTACCATTACACCCATTCTCTTCTGCTCTTTGAAACAAAAAGTATCTGCTAACAATTTATTTGCTCCTTTCAATTTTTTTAATGTCAATGAAACAATCTATAGAAGGGTTCAGCTTGTAATGATAATAAACTAACCAAACTCAAACTATCTAAAGTTGGATTTGGTTCAACCTTGAATATTAAATTGCCTTAGTTTCTGGGAGAAAGCAATAATATGTTTACAACAGGCAGCATGACGAGTCTAAGTCCAAAATATTTGGAAGAAATCTTCACTTTCACATGGCATGATAGTAAAGAACTCTGAAAAACTCCTCAATGATATTACCACTTCATCCCTCCAACATGCCTCAATCATATGTCGTGCAGTAGTCGTTCACACGTCCCTCAATCATATTATTTGCTCCTTTCAAATGTTATGTTATGTTTGATATTTTCAGAATATGATTATTATAATATCGCAGGATCGATGTGTGGTTTTAGAGCGCCAGTTTGTTGAGCTCAAGACTCAAATGGAGATGATGCAAGTTGGAATGACAGAGCTCAAGGCAATAAATCAAAAATTGATGGAAGAAAATTTAGAGCAAAGAGCCCATTTCAAGTCTTCTATGAGCAATATTTGGGGTGTTTTGATCAATATGGGCGTTGTTAATCCAAACACAATCCCATTTAATGTTGTTACGGGAGGAGGGTATTCATCTCAACAACACCCGTCATATATGTTTGGGCAGCCGTCACAACCCCAACAACCACTACCATTCTGACATCAACAACCTGCATCCTTCAGCCAGCTTATTCAGATGAACTATGCCCAAGCACAACACGAAACCTTGGGGGATCAACCTCAACAGTTTGGTATCACTGGTTTGATACAACCTACTCATCTGAACGTCAAGCACCTGTCGTCCTTGCAAATCAACCAGCTGTTGCACCACGTGTTCTTCCAATGCGTCGTACTCGCGAAATCTCATCTAGTGATAGTTCCGATGATGATGAGAATAGTGATGATATGAATGATGATAGTTAGTAAAAGGGATAATCAGACTTTGCACCCCATTTTATTGTCGAAATTAGACTTTGCACCCCGTTTTTGAAATCTTTAGTATTTGCACCCCAACCCCGTATGAAAAGACTAAAATGCCCCTCAATTAAAAATTTTGTTGGCCTTCAACATAATCATGATCGGGGGGCATTTTTGACTTTTCATACAAGGCTAGGGTGCAAATACTAATGATTTCAAAAACGGGGTGCAAAGTCTAATTTGGATAATAAAATGGGGTGCAAACTCAAATTATCCCTTAGTAAAACATGTAACACCTTTTGAATTTGTGGTTAAGACTATGTTCTGTGTTCTATGTTTTTGGTGAAGACTCCATTTTTGTGTACTAAAAGAGTGAGCCTTCAAGTGAATATGTAGTATGTTTTGGATACTTTGTGTTCTAAAGTTTTCTCTCAATAATATCAGCAATTATTCTATTTCATAGCATTTATTTTTATATGTTATACTCTTGTATTAGTGTATTGTTATAGCTATACGAAGTATTGTAAAGTAATACGTAGTACAAATTATACGAAGTATTTGATGAATATACTTATACGGTTTATGAGGGAGGATCTCTTATTAATGTGTTATTGATGGGAATACTTCCTTGAGTACACGTTACAGCATTATTACAGCAGTTGTGGTTATAAATCTGTCATACCATATGAGGGAAATAAACCGTTATACGGTGTTATACGTGTGGGGTTCAAGGAGCATTTTTATAACAGATTTCATAACACCCAATCCCTTATTACTTATAACAAATAAATGACGGATCACCCGTTATTACCATATTTTCATTTGCGTAATGCATGTATTATTTCTTTCAAAAATGTAATTTTTTTGGGTTAATTACATAATTTAAAATAGCAAATTAAAAGTGTTGCAATTATATAGATTTCGGATTACATTATTTATTTCGCAATGAAAATTTAGAATGTTAATTGTGTCTTCATGAATTCTAAAATATATTAAATTATGCAATTAACACCATAAACTTGCATTTTAAAAAGAAATAATACTTTACTATGGTGCTAAAATAACTTTTTATACGATAATATAAAGTTTGGGGTATTTAAATTACATATGTTTGGGGTATTTAATCTCACACCCCTTCAAAGTTTGGAGTATTTTATTTACTTTTCCCTGGTTCTAATGATGTTAAACTGTACTTTTTATAGCTACCGCATGAAGTGATGGTTTTGTTCATGGCTACGAATTTTAACAGACAAAACATAAATGAAAACTAATTGAGTGATCTGAATTTGTAAAATAAGAGGTGCAATTTGTTTGTAACCGAAAAGCTCTCCCAAATTTATTACTCACGTGTATCAACATAGTGTTTTTACATAGGTGCCCTTTAATCATCATTGTTATACATATATTCATTTTAAATACTCCACTAATCGTCCATAATTAATAGGTTTCCTTTATTATTATTATTATTATTATTATTATTATTATTTATTTGTAGTCATCCATTTTCTTGAATCAAAGGCTACTATTCTCTCGATCATTTTTATTTCTTTCTTGGGACTCCCTGTATATACGTACATATACTACGTATATATATTATTTATTAAAAAGAAAAGAAAAATCCCATCCCATATCAATAACGACACGACAATAAACGGGAATGAGAAAATAGGGAACAGAGGAATGCCTATGCGAGCAAGAGTGAGGGAGGAGAGCACGAGAGTCTCCTAAAATGCTGGAAAATTGGTTCAGACTTGGAACAGGGAGCTGCTCTGTTTCATTTCATTTTTCTTTCCTTGCCACCTCCATCCCTTCGTCGCCTACCTTTCTAGGTTTGCTTCTGGATTTCATTTTCCTCCTTATTTCTGGTATCATTAACACCATGCATTTCTTGAATTTCCATCTCTATGCAGTAATCCCATAATAAAAAAAATGACATTTTTCTTATTTGGCGAAATTGTGGTTACATTTGGGAATTCATTTGCTCCTTATTCATTTTAATCTCGGTGAAAGTTCCATATGGTGATTTTGAAGCCGGTTTCTATACAAACTAAATTGTTTTAATGTTTAGATGTGAAATTTCAATGTGTGGACGTACAGAGTTTCTTAATCTGTTTGTTACAACTCTCTTATTAAATTTAATGTTATAATCAAGATTCGTTTAATTTGGGTGTTTCTAGTGAACTTTCGACAATTCTTTCATTATATTTATCTGTCAATTGCGCCATCTCAATTCATTTAGGACACACCATTTCTTATGCATGCTGAATTTCACATAGAGCTTTTGATATGTTGTTGATTTATTATGTTGTTGAATTTCACATGTTATCTCCTTGATATTTTGATGGGATACTTGAATATAAATGTTGATTAATGAATATTGATGATTTATACTCAGGTATGCTTTGCAGCATGCGGTGGTGTTTTAATGGCTGAACTGCTCGAGTAGAGTGACCTTCTTGTTGCAATCAACTTAAAAAACAAAAAATGCCAAGAGGCAGGATAAGGGCAAAGCTTCGCCGGAGCAATCTATACACCTTTGCATGTATCCGGCCGCGATCTGCAGAGGAGGTGGGACCCCACCGGCTAGGCCCCGGATTTTCACGAGTAGTGCATTGCAACCAACCCCAAGTGCATGACGTGAAACCCCTCAAATACTGTACAAATTACATTTCAACCACAAAATACAATTTCATCACGTTCATACCCAAGGCCATATTTGAGCAATTCAGGCGTGTTGCCAACTTGTATTTCCTCCTTGCTGCCATTCTGTCTCTCACACCGGTCTCACCCTTCTCGGCTGTCAGTATGATTGCCCCTTTGGTCTTTGTTGTTGGTTTGAGTATGGTAAAGGAAGCTTTGGAAGACTGGAATAGATTCATCCAGGACATGAAGGTCAATTTGCGCAAAGCCACTGTTCACAAAAGGGATAGTGGGTGTTTTGGTCATAAGCCATGGATGAAGCTTCGGGTTGGAGATATTGTCAAAGTGGAAAAGGATCGATTTTTCCCTGCAGATTTATTACTTCTCTCTTCCAGTTATGAAGATGGAATCTGTTATGTGGAGACGATGAACTTAGATGGAGAGACAAACTTGAAGGTGAAAAAAGAACATTGCTCCAATATGACCAAACATGTTTATGCCAGCCCTAACTAGATTTTACTTAATCCTAATTTAAAAAGCCTAAAAATTGGTAGCTAATGTATATACGATAGTATTTATTAATCCTTGGACAAACTTTCAACTTGGAACACAAGATATCTGTCCCATTAACCATCACATGTCGTCATTGATCACCGACCTCTGACCACCGGTCACCACCAACGACTCTCTAACTAGAGGTGAGTGACTAACTGATGGTTCGTAACTCACACGGCTTCGTTCATTGACTCACTCACAAGTAATCATGGACGGTGGTAGCTGATAGGTTGGAGTAAGTTGCTAACATCTAGTTAGTAATTCAATTTGTAATTATTCAGGATAAATGTGGAGTATATGGGAGAGTTTGAGTATAATTTGGTTGCATCATGCACTTTAAGTCATATGAGCTCAACTAGTTACATTTGAATTGTATGCGAAAATGTTACAGGTAAAAAGAGCTTTGGAGGTAACGTTACCCTTGGAAGACGATGAAGCATTCAAGGAATTCAGAGCAGTTATAAAATGTGAAGATCCAAACCCAAATCTTTACACTTTTGTTGGTAATCTTGAATATGAGCGACAGGTTTACCCTCTTGACCCTAGTCAAATCTTGCTTAGAGATTCAAAGCTTAGGAACACAGCTTATGTGTACGGAGCTGTGATATTCACCGGACAAGACAGCAAAGTCATGCAAAACTCAACAAAATCACCTTCGAAAAGGAGTCAAATTGAACGACAGATGGACAAAATCATATACGTCCTTTTCACGCTCCTAGTTTTGATTTCTTTGATTAGTTCAATCGGTTTTGCTCTAAAGACAAAGTTCCAGATGCCTAGTTGGTGGTATCTTCAACCTCAAGATAAGAGTAACATCCTCTATAATCCAAACAAACCAGAGTTGTCTGGGATATTTCATCTAGTCACAGCTCTTTTATTATATGGATACTTAATACCCATATCCCTTTACGTCTCTATTGAAGTTGTGAAGGTCTTACAAGCATTGTTCATAAACCAGGACGTTCATATGTATGATGAAGAGTCTGGGACTCCTGCTCAAGCAAGAACATCAAATCTAAATGAAGAGCTGGGCCAGGTTGACACCATCCTGTCAGACAAAACGGGTACATTGACATGCAATCAGATGGATTTCTTAAAATGCTCCATTGGTGGGACCCCATATGGAAAACGCGCTAGTGATGTGGAACTTGCGGCCGCTAAGCAGATGGCAATGGAAAATGATGATGAAGATGTTTTTGAGAGCACGCCTCGTGGAACCGGGTTTGGTGGGGCATCAGATATTGAGTTGGAGACGGTCATAACTTGTCGAGATGAGGATGAAAAAAAACCTTGTGTTAAGGGGTTTAGCTTTGAGGATGACCAACTGATGAATGGGAATTGGATAAATGAACCAAATGCCGATGTCATATTGTTATTCTTCAGGATACTGTCGATTTGTCACACCGCAATTCCCGAATTTAATGAGGAGACCGGTTTCTTCAACTATGAAGCTGAGTCACCGGATGAGGGTTCATTTCTTGTTGCGGCTAGAGAATTTGGGTTTGAGTTTTGTAAAAGAACTCAATCAAGCATTGTTGTCCGTGAGAGATATCCTTCTTTTCACCAGCCTGTTGAAAGGTGAAATTTTATGTATTCAACGGAGTGACTTAAAGAATTCTCTATTGTAAAGGAAATTCTTATCTACATGTTTCACAGCCACAATAGTGCAACACCAAATCAATCAAAAGATGACACATCCATTATAATCATTATTTTCATATAAAAAGTATGACACATATTTAATCATTATCAACATTTTTGTAGTTTGTAGCTTGGTTCATATAGGAGTTGTGACCTATAAGAATTTTCCTGAGTATATTTGATAATGAATCTTACTTTCCTCTCCCCTTCCCTTTTTTCTGCCTATATTTAGGGAAGTTAAAGTTCTCAATTTGTTGGACTTCACAAGCAAGAGGAAGAGAATGTCCGTTATAATCCGAGATGAGAGCGGACAAATTTTTCTCTTCTGCAAAGGAGCAGACAGGTGAGATCATTTCCATCATTATATTACTGTAGGTTTCTTCATGGACTCTCCTCACACTAAACTTCAATAATCTTGGAGCTCAAAGCCTATGTATGTTTTGATTTAATTGTGTTGTATTGACCAGATTTGCATTTTGGGATCTTTGTAAGGGACAATTTCAGAAAGTACATGATTTATATGTTTCCAATAAAATTTGCTTAATACTCGCATGTCAATATTTGTGGATTAAGAAGTAATAAAAGGCACCATCCAAAACGTTTCTTGTTCCATATTTTTAATCCCTCCATCCCAACTTAATTGCTATTTTGGAAAATAACCGTCCCAAAATAATTTTGATTTAAGAATTCAATACATATTTTTACTACTACTATTCCAAATAGGTCCTTATTATCTCATTAACTCTTTCCATATCGAAAAGAAATAAATGTATTTAAAGTTAAACGTAACTAAGGTCTAAGGTTAGAACGGTAATTTCATAGGGCTCCTTAATGCATGTGCCTTTTTGGAAAGTACTCCCTCCCTCCCTATATAAATTTTATAGTTTGAATAGTAGGCATTTTAAGGAAATAATTTTTCTTCTTTTCTGACTTTCTGAAATGTCATTTGTAGTGTGTGTAAATTTTACTGTAGAATACATTATTTTGACACCGTTTGACAACTTGAACACTATTTGGAACTGTGCAATCATTATTACTAGAGGACAGTAGAGTAAGCTGATAGAAATTTGTTTAGCAAATGAGGAAAAAAGACTTTATATAGGGACATCTACAAAAGTAAAACATGAAGTTCTTTAAAGGACGGATGGAGTATTAATTTTTTTGGTACAGAGATTAGGGAGTTTATATTTACTTAATTACATAAAAAATGATATTAACACATCCATGCTATTTATGTGAGTTTCACAGCATTATGTTTGAGAGATTATCAAAAAATGGGAGAATGTATCTAGAGGCAACCACAAAGCATTTGAATGATTATGGGGAAGCTGGACTGCGCACACTTGCCCTAGCATACAAGAAGCTAGAAGAGGCAGAGTATTCTGCATGGAATGAAGAATTCACAAAGGCAAAAACCTCAATTGGAGGTGATAGGGAAGCAATGCTTGAGAGGATCTCTGATTTGATGGAAAGAGATCTTATTCTTGTAGGTGCCACTGCCGTGGAGGATAAACTGCAGAAAGGAGTATGTTTATCATTTCATCTTTCTCTTCAATGATCGCATTAATCAGCTAATAGAATTTTGTTGTAATTTGTCGTAATTATAATTGTGACCTTATTTCCATCCATCAGGTCCCTCAATGCATAGACAAATTGGCACAAGCTGGGCTAAAGATTTGGGTTCTTACAGGAGATAAAATGGAAACCGCAATTAATATAGGGTGGGTTTACCACAACAAGGAAGAAGGCTTTGCATCATTATTGGTTTAATATGTACCCAATAAACCAAAACTTCAGGCATCACGGCCTAACTTGTAGCTATGATATGGCCCTCCTTCAAAATTTGAAAGGATCAAATGAATCTGTTTGCCCTTATTTATCCATAATTAACTTCTTATTTTCAGGAAAAGTAACCTTTTCTTTTAATTTTTTCATTTCCCACTTTTTGCGTTCAAGTTATGGGTTCCTAAAGTTATGTGCCAAAGTTAAATAGGAAAAATAATATTTTGAGTAAATAGTGATCCCCTAAATAAGTTCTGGATAACCCTCACTGCCTTCTGGATTAAATTAGATCCAACCCTTATTCTTAACTATGATTAACATAAAGTGTTGCTTCATGCAGATTTGCTTGTAGTTTACTTAGGCAGGGCATGAAGCAAATTTGCATTTCATCATCAAATGCAGATGCAACTGACAAAGAATCCAAAAGGGTAATTTTTTTATAAAATGATAATGTAAGATTGTCAGGAAACTTATTATAATTAATGGCAGTCGTCATTTTTGTTTGTCCCTACTCAGGTTGTCAAGGAGAATATTTTGTTGCAAATGACAAATGCTTCCCAAATGGTGAAACTTGAAAAGGACCCACATGCCGCGTTTGCACTAATTATTGATGGGAAAACACTAACTTATGCCTTGGAAAATGATATGAAGCATCATTTTTTGAACTTAGCTGTTGATTGTGCATCTGTCATTTGTTGTCGTGTTTCTCCAAAGCAGAAGGCTTTGGTAAGATTTCCCCGAACGTTTAAGATTTCTCTTTTCCCTCTAGATGTGTGTGTGTGTCTCTTTTTAAAATGTTATTTGGTTGCATATATAGGTGACAAGGTTAGTTAAAGAGGGTACATGTAAAACAACCTTAGCAATCGGTGATGGTGCAAATGATGTTGGAATGATTCAGGAAGCAGATATTGGTGTTGGAATCAGTGGGGCGGAAGGAATGCAGGTAGGTTTTTAATTATTATGAACTACTATTTATTTTTGAAAATTTTGATGAGGGAATACATGTTATTTCCAGATCCTCTTTTCGATCCCATGACTTTTGAGTCCTCAATTTTGATCACTGACTATAATTTCCCCCCACTTTTCGCGCAAGATTGTTCCACTATCAAATCATTATTCTAAATATCGACCCAGTCAGTTCGATTAATCTGCGCCTAGGCGGCCCCTAATTGTGGAGGACTAATCGGCTTAGTCGGCCAAAAAATCGGCCTAGTCGGTGTCTGTTTAGGCGCTAGGCACCCCTCAACCGCCCGACTAGCGCCTAGCGAGTTCTAGAACAGAGTCAAACTATGGGTTTCTTGTCACTCCTTCTAGGCCACTTATTCATCCACCAAAAGTAAAAAAAAAAATGGAAGTCAGGTATTCAAGTGAGAATGACCTAATAGTCACAGATCTACTGTCTACTGGATTACAAGTGATTTTTTTTGTGAAAATCTATATTGTTTTGCTCTACTTATCATTTTTTTGTTGCTGGAAAATATAAACAAATTCAGATTTAAATCATGCTCAAGTAATAGTTTGTTACAGGCTGTGATGGCAAGTGACTTTGCTATTGCACAATTCCCATTTTTGGAGAGACTCCTTGTTGTACATGGCCACTGGTGCTACAAACGGATTGCTCAGATGGTATTATTTACTGACTTAATTTTGGACTCCAGTTCTCATATGACAATGCTTTTTGGTTTGATATCGCTGATGCTCTATATCCTTGTCTGCTCAGATATGCTACTTCTTCTACAAAAATATTGCATTTGGCCTCACACTCTTCTACTTTGAGGCATTTACTGGCTTCTCTGGGCAGTCAATTTATCATGATTGGTATATGCTATTGTTCAATGTGGTTCTTACTTCCTTGCCTGTCATTTCACTAGGAGTCTTTGAGCAGGATGTGTCTTCGCAAGTCTGCTTACAGGTTAGTTAGCCCCTATAGCACCTTCCCTGCTATTAACTAATCTATAATTCTATGCTTCCTCACACACATCAAGACCCTCTTTTGTGGGGTAAAACCTGGTTCAAAATACCTGCAGCATACTTCTTCAACGTTAATGTGGAAAAGTTCAGTTTCTCAATCACCTAAACAGTTGTTTATACAATCTCTTCACACTGTAATGCTACTGTCATTATTGAGAAGATTAAAATCAAAAGATAGACGTCAATTAAATTTCATATTGTGAGTAACTCAATTCACATATTGTGAGTAATCAAGGGACAGACTTTCACTACTTTGAAAATGAGAGACCTCATCTCATTTTCCAAAACAATTGAAGGATCAAAATACTTATCATGCTCCCCAATTTTTAATCTGAAAAGCTGCAAAACACCCCCTAAGGTTTAGTTTTACGGACAAATTGGCCCGTAACAATTTATTAACACATGTACTGGCCCATTTTGGTCTTAAATGTCAGGACAAAAAAATTAAAGGGTCACTTTAAAAAATATTTTAATACTATGGGAGATGCACTTACACACAAAGACACATGCATAATAATGTAATATTTATATGGGAATATTCTCAAAATAGGAGTAAGAATGTTTGAGAATTTTAAAATAGGAGTAGTATGTTGATATTTCCTAAATAGGAGTAATGACTGCCATAGTTTGGCATTATGAGGCTTTAAACACGACAATATTTTCCAAGCTAGAGAGTAATTACTCACATTTAGAGAATAAAAACATAGTACTCCTATTTTGGAATTCTCAAACGTTGTCACTCTTATTTAGGGAAATTTCCTTATATATTCATTAGAAACTTAGTTTCAAATATTATATGGATTTTACAATGCAAGTCTAACAGGGCAAGTATGGTTATATGAATAAAAGTTTCCATGGAGTGATGGAGTTGGATTTTAGACAAGTTGTGTGATGCAGAAATTATCTAACATGGCAAGTACGGTTATATGAATAACCTTCCCTGACCCTTTACCATGTCTAGGCACTTCAATACTCAAAATAATAAAAATTAGTTTTTGTTTGTGTTTTTAAACGTTTTTACATAATCATTCAAGACCAATAAGGGCCAATCTGCCTTTGAAACTTGATGTTAGGTGTGCATTTGCAGACTTTCTTTTATTATTACTATATTGTGGTCAGCTAATGCTGTCAAATAAGTTAGTATTTGTAGAAGAATGTACCAAACAAACTGGGCACTAAAGCTAAAAAGCCAAACTTTGCAGTTTCCAGCATTATATCAGCAAGGACCCAAAAACTTATTCTTCGATTGGAACAGAATATTCGGGTGGATGGGAAACGGAGTCTATACGTCTCTCGTCATCTTCTTCCTCAACCTCGTCATTTTCTACGACCAGGCCTTCCGATCCGGAGGCCAGACCGCTGACTTGACGGCCATGGGGACTGCCATGTTCACTAGCGTTGTCTGGGCAGTCAACTGCCAGATTGCTCTAACAATGAGTCACTTCACGTGGATCCAACATGTACTCATCTGGGGCAGCATCATCTTTTGGTACATATTACTCTTAGTCTATGGTGAAATGTCCCCAAAAATCTCCAAAGATGCCTATAAAATCCTCACAGAGGCTCTTGCACCCGCACCAATATATTGGCTCACTACTTTCTTGACAAGTATTACATGTAATCTCCCATACCTTGTCCACATTGCCTACCAGAGATCTTTCAACCCTATGGATCATCACATAATTCAAGAAATCAAATACTTAGGGAAAGATGTCGAGGATCGAAATATGTGGAGAAGAGAGCGGTCGAAAGCAAGATCAAAGACCAAGATTGGGTTCACGGCTAGAGTAGATGCTAAGATCAGGCAATTGAAAGGGAAACTTCATAAAAAATATTCAACGATCGGTTCACAATTAGAAGTTCCCCGTAGTACATAACTATTTTTTAGTGGATACTTTTTTCGGTTTCTTCGGGGACATCCGATAAAACCGGAACAATGCAAAGAAGATCAGCATGGCCTCTATACATGGATGACACACACAAAACCAATACCTTTTCTCATTTACTTTAGTTTAGTTAGGGGGAGGCATACCTGCAATTCCTCTATGTAATTGATTTGTAATATGATTTTCTTGAGTATGGGATGGGTTCAACTCGATCTGTTCTTTTATTCTTTCATAGCAAATTGAGGTCGCTGTATGTACAGTACTTTAATATACCATTTTATACAACATTCAAAGTTGAAGCTAGCCTGCAACTTGACCAGCAGTGTGTTGTTTGTCTAGCTGCCCAAAAGAACTGCCACATTTAATTGTGCATTGTGGGTGGCTTGAGCCTTTATTATTTCCTTGGAGTTCATTTTCAAATGTGCTTGTATAACTGAGTAGAAAATATTCAAATATAACAGCATTGATTTACATAAACCATAATTTAAACTCATCATTAATAGTAAACAAATGTATGTATGAAAGAACATATTGTGAATCAAAGACATGGGGTTATTCTTTTTTGTGTGATGGTGCGTTTAATTTTTATAAGAAAAGCTGAAAAGAATTAGACAATACCATAAGGTATTGTGGATTTTGTACTATAAACTAAACACAAGGGATTTAATTCTTAGTTTTATTTTTTGTTTTTATTTCTTTGCCCTCTAATTCACCCCTCAAATCCGAAAAGACATCACCCGAATCATGTTCAATTGCTAATGTTTTGGAGACAATTGAGTTCATCAATGAACTTGCTTTTGCAATCCTCAAAAGAAATAAGTTAATCCCTTGTCCATTTCTTCCCTCAGGAATAAATAGAGAATCACACCTCCTTTCAATTATTCGGATAAATCCTCCAAAGAAGTTTGCATCATACAAAACAATATGGGATTTATTCAACTCCAACTTAGTGCATAATCTATTACCCGAAAAGATTTTGGGTATGGATTCCTTTAACCAATTAATCCCAGCAATATCAAGGATGACAACAGATGATAATCCATGCTTCATTTCAGAAATACGAACAGTAGAGCAGTCCATAACTTTAAAATTAATATTGAACTCATCTTCTCCAGTTAGAATCGGATGAAAATCACCTTTCTGTCAGTTGTGTTCCTCTGTATCGGGTATGAAGACTTGCAATAGTGCTGATCATTTTGCCGAGGTCTGAATTCTGTTCGAAGGTTCCAATCTGCCTCTGGCCGAGCACCCCAATCTCGCTGGCGAGCTCCAAACGTTGTGCTGCACGCTGCCCAGTGTCTTTGTTGGAATGGGCATCTATTCTGTGCTGGACGCCACCCTGCCTGGTCGCCTGAGCCCAGCTTAACTCTGCATCCTTCCCGTTGCCATGGAGAGTTCTCCCCTAACCATCTGAAACGAGGCCGATGGCCCCATCGCCGGTCGCTGAAGGATGTATACTCCTTCCCTTCCAGTTGTCTCCTTCGGAAATGTGTGGATGTCCTCTCCAATTTTTCATTTCTGTCGCGCCGCCGTAGATACGGATTAGAACCAGAGAAACGTTGTCCGATTCCATCCCCTGGTATCGCAATTTCCGCCGAGGTCTCCAAGCTTCAAACACTAGGCGATCGATCGGTGATTGCCTAACCCTATTTTCCTGCGCCGCCATCCCCCCTCATATGACCGGAGTTCATTTTGTTTTTATTTCTTTGCATTAATTCATGCATAGGGTCAAAGTACATGTGAGAAATGCAAATGATCTTTAAAAAGATATTTCTCTCCCGCAGCTTTCTAACAGAATAACTGATTTTTCTGGTGATAAGGTGGTCTGCTAGCGTCGTGCCTCTCCTAGCTACCTAGACAAGCATGATAATGAGAGAATGTTAATGGTAAATTCAGCATGCAGAGATAGTGAGGGAACCAGAATTACCTTAACTAACCCATATTTACTGTTAATTGAGATGATTATGAGGATCCTCCTGACTTACAAAAATACAGAACATATTTTACCAATGGGTATAGGTTGCATTTATCTAGAAATTGATCAAAACAAAATGTCAATGGTTCTAAGTATAGATTAGGTTTACATTTTTTTACTCATGTACACATTGAATGGACAAGTGAATGTTAGAGACTCAATTGGGCACACAGCCAGAAACTCAATGTTCAATATGATGTAGAAGATAATTTATTTCAGACTTGAATGGACTCTTTTTGGGATTAGACTCAAATGGCCAGTACAATGCCCCACGGGGGTTTTAAAGCTCATATGAAACAATGAAATGATTAATCTGATAAAGAATTCTATAGCTCAACCATGAATGAATATTTTGTTTTGGCATTATTCAATAAACAACTAATCCCTCCGTCCCTAAATAAAAGTATCTGTTTACTTTTCGGGCCGTCCCTAAATAAAAGTCCCATTTCCTTTTTTGGCAAATAAAATAGTGCAAAACAGTGACAAACAGTGCCAAACAGTGTCAAAACAGTGCCAAACAATACCAACCAAACCCACTTTCTTAAAATGTGTGGAAAACAAATGAATACTTTTATATAGGGACGGAGGGAGTATTTTTGAATGGTCAAAAGAGTCCTACACAGGATTGAGAAAACTCAAACAAAACAGTGAAGTAGCCAATAACTAATGCAATCTTAAATAATTCAACAGCTCGATCAAGAATTTCTGGCTCATAGTACATGTGAGGTTAGTTTAGTTTAGGCAAATTTTCTGTCAAACTGTACACTTAGCTGCCAGCTCGATCAAGAATATATCAATATTACTCTGTATATGCTTATTGAAAATGACGGGTTGCCTTAGAAACTCTACCCTTAAAACTTGAATTACGTAGAGCTATGGAGTATTTTTGAGGCTACTGTTGTATTAATCTGTTTTGTTTGAACACTGAATTAACAGATAACCAACTATAGATCCCAGTATGGCAGTATATTATGATTATTATCTATTCATATGTGATGGACTTTTTCATGGAAATATACATTATGCTACTACGAGTAATTCCATTCAAAACAACTGAGTATTGGTATGTAGCAGATTTTACCCATGTCGTCAACTTTGAGGGTTTGGGCTCCAATGTTATCATTTTTATCATGCCGCAAAGGTTCCCACCTACGGTGGGGTAAGGGGGTCGGATGTACGCAGTCTTACTCCTGTACTAAAGCACAGAGAGACTGTTTCCGGGCGGATGACCCATAGTGAAAATCACGTCCAAAATTGCATGCACTGACTGCTGCTTCATAATAAAGAAGCGCAGACAGTTTAGTGAGTCATTTTGCTTTATTTCATCATAATCTCAAGCCAAAAAATAATGAATCTTTGACTCCATTGCAAATGATGGAAAATATCATGTTATTTTATACATCTGTATTTTTTATGTTAAGAATTGCATATATTGTACACCCTCCGTCCCGCAATGAACTTCCCACTTTCTTTTTTTGGATGTCCCAGAAACAAGTTCTCATTTCCTTAAATTACAAGCTAATCTGCATCAAAACAGTGTCAAACAGTGCCAAACAGTGTCGAAACAGTGCAAAACAGTGCCAAACAGGGTCAAAACAGTAAAATTTACCCCATGGTAAGTTTATTTCCTTAATATGTGTGTAAGTCAAACTGTGAAGTTCATTGTGGGACAGAGGGAGTATAACCTACTAATAGAATAAAGACTTTATGATGGAAAATAAAGCAACCAGAGAGTATAACAACGCACCGACAAGAAATAAGTTATGTCTATCTTCTAATCCTTAAATCTACAAGTAAATAGAATAAAGATTTTATCATTTTCATTTTCATTTACCCCATTGCCGCAAAGGCTTCCACCTCCGGTGGGGTAAGGGGGGGTCGGATGTATGCAGTCTTACCCATGTACTAAAACACAGAGAAACTGTTTCCGGATGACCCATAGAGAATAAAGATTTTATGATGGAAGATAAAGCAAGCAGAGAGTATAACAATGCACCGACAAGAAAGAAGCTATGTCTACCTTCTAATCCTTATGGGGTATGAGATCCGTGAAATTTTGAATCTGTAAATTTAATTAAATCTGTCTAGTTCTTGATGAAAGATCATATTCAACGTATGGGTTAGCTTAATATTTTAACCAAAAGTTATTACGAGTACTTTTTTCCAAATCCTCTTTTTCTTTGGAAATAGAAAGTGGATAATTCTAACTGTCTATGACGGGAAGTAGAAAAAGTGTTTGGAAAATATATGCATTACTTTTTCCCAAATAGATAAAAGAAGCCAAAGATTTGGGCAGAAGCATCGCAAATTATATCGTACACCCGAATGTACGGTCCTCACCGTACGTACATTCGGGTATTTTTGCAATTAATTACAAATCTGGTGGTAAAGATTAGGGATGGAGAAGGCTGTTCGGCGCTCGCTGATGTCTTGGGAATCGATGGATGAGGATCTGCGCACATCTCTCTTCTCCGCCCACCATGGCCTTCCACACACGAAGCAACAACACTATCGCCATCTGTCTGCAATCGCCGCTGCACAGGCTTCGGATGGAGGCTGTTGATTCCGAACCTAAGGCGATGAATTCGAGCTTCAGTGTCTGGTGCACCGTCGGATGAAGTTCGCAATCTGTCTGCAATCGCTGCTGCACAGCCTTCGGATGGAGGCTGTTGATTCCGAACCTAAGGCGGCGGATTCGAGCTTCAGTGTCTGGTGTGCCGTCGGATGAAGTTCGCCCGCCACTGTAGACCACGCCTGATGCTAAAATGAGTTTTATGTTAAATTAAAATGAGTATAACGTCCAAAATGAATGAGGACACAAAAATGCGTTTTTAAAATTTTTGATACTCATTTCGTAAGTTATGTATGCTCATTTGGTGGTAATGGTATGCTCATTTAACAGAAAGCTTGATTTTCATCTCAATAAATGAGGTTTGGTGCTCAATGAACATATCATTATGTTAAACTAACAAATCTTACGATTTTCATATCAATAAACATTTTATAAGTTACATATACTCATTTGGTACTAATATTATGCTCATTTTAAAATGTTATATTAATGCATATTTTAAAAGTATCATATTGCATTAAATTCGCATATGGAAATTCATAGAAGTGTATTATAGATATAATTCAATTACAAATAACTTGGAATAGCAGGTCATCAACCGGTCAGGGACCATTGAACGAAGATGGGGTGCAAAGGTTGGATTATTCCTGAATAATGAAAAGGTGAGACTATTGTAAGAAGACCGCTAAAAGGTTGAATCATTAGTTTCCATTATGCCTTATTTTTGTGCACATATGTTGTTTGATTAAATGTTTACATATGTGATCTAAAGGAACATCAGTAAGTCACTAATTTTTCAAAGAAACAAATGTGTTTCGTTACTGCCTGTTTGGTTTGAACTAATTATTTCCATCATTTCTTTACTACAAAGTTTTTTTCATATGTAGTTTTTTCATATGCCTATTTTGTTTGAACAGATTGCTTAGTTAATTTCTTTACTAAAAAGTTTTTCATCAATTGAACTGATGGAACATCTGTATTTCACTAATATTTCTGGCTGAGCTAATCTAAACTACAATTTGTTTGGTTACCGTCAATTTTATTTGAACTGATTCTTTATTTTATTTCTTTACAAAAAAGCTTTTCCCATCTATAGCCTACAAATGAAGAATAAAAAGAAATTTGGAAACATAAATCTGAAGAAGTGCCTGCACTTGCTGAACCTGTAGGAATAATCATAGGGAATTGGGTGATTGAAAGAAAAAAGGAGTTGACAAAATGAAGTTCAGGGAATTGGTGAGTTTTTACATAGTGTGAGTAGATTTTTCTGAACAATGAAGGTAAAAAAACTAACTATTAGCATCAAACATTGTTTAAATAACACATGTTCTTATGGAGCTCAAGTCTACATGAACCAAAGCATGCAAAATCAGTTAGAGACTACTTCAGGAACACATCATTCCTGAGTCTTTGAAAATGTCCCTCAAGCATAACATAAAAATAACAAACTGGATCAACTATCCTTCATTACAAAAGCTCAATGTGCGTGCCTCTAACTCAGCAGGATCATCAGTTATGAGAGACTCTCCAGAGCATGAATTGTGTGATATTTAGCAGTCCAAGGGGAGTTTTTTGAACAATGAAGTTCAAAACACTAACTAATAACATCAAACATTTGAACAAAGAAGTGCATCAAACATCTGTTTAATTAAGAGCATTAAACATTTGTTTAAACACTTGCTGAATTATAGCAATAATCATAGGCAACTATAGCAAAAAATTGATTTTTCCTCTTAGAATCGAATAGGTAAATCAATTTTCAATTCCTTCAAATTCATCTTTTTGTTCTATTTTTTCAGCATGTTTTGTTTTTATTCTGTCATGTTTTAATAGGTCACCCATTAAATATCACTTTTGTCACTTATTTATTAGGTCATCATTATTTATTAAAGTCACATTCCTCTTCCCCTAATAATTTGTTCTTCTTATGAATAGTTTTTAAAGCATTACAGTTATAAGGAGTGAAAAATCCTGTTTTCTAACAACCATTCCTCTACCCTAAAGAATTACATTTTATATATTACTAACCTAAACATGATAGACAAATAGTCCACCTTTTTTTTGAACAATGCAATTAAAATGACAATATAACATGGCTGTTATTTACGCCTTCTAAATTCAAAAAATCAGAATTGAGTCTAGCATAATACCAATACTTCTTTCGGCCATGCAGTCTGTTTTCTCTTGATGAAGAAAGAGAATATTTAAGTTGTGATTCTGTAGACAAATCAGATGTAGTCGAAGCAGAAGCATTTGAAGCGTTAACACCAGAGTTTCTAAATTCCTTGAGAACATCAGGTCTCCCAAATCACAAGATACGACTTAAGGTTGGGACTCCATTAATGTTGTTAAGAACTATAGACCAGTCAGAAGGACTATTTAAAGGAACTAGATTGATTGTTACAAGACTTGAAAATCATGTCATTGGAGCAAGAATCATGTCTGAAGGTTATGACGGAGATGAGATTTACATACCTCGAATGTGTATGTCTCATTCTCAATCACCATGACCTTTTAAACTTATCAGTAGACAGTTTCCTATAATGATCTCATATGCAATGACAATCAATAAATCTCAAGGACAGTCACTGGAAAGAGTTGGATTATACCTGCCTAGACCTGTTTTTAGTCATGGACAATTGCATGTGGCATTATCCAGAGTTCAAATCAAACATGGGTTGAAGATTTTAATACATGATAAGGATGGAAAATCATTAGACACTACTACGAATGTCGTATTCAAAGAGGTTTTCCGAAATCTCTAACATGTAAGTTTAATATTTTACTCTTAATATTTATTTTATTAACTTAATTAAACTTTATGATATTGACTTATTGTACTCGCTTTTAAAAATTATGCCAATTTTTTAAAATTAATTTTCTTTTGTAATTAATTAAATCATGATTACAAGTATATACATCGATTATTTCCCCGTGCGTATGCACGGGTACTGTACTAGTAATGAATGATAAAAACTTTTCCCTCTACAGTTTTGGGAGATAAAAATATGAATAATTTACATTTTTAAACTGTTACTTTGTTTACTTAAGAAACATTTCTTTTACCTCTAATTCCTATCCCATTGTTACCGGTAGGCGTAGGTCCGGGGTTGAAGCGTATTATTAGTTGCTTACATCGATGCATTAGTGCCAACAACACCACTAAAACCCCATGGAGTTGTCCTAAACCCTGACCGAGTAATAAAATGAAATAAAAAAGTAACCAAAACATAATTTTAACGTATTTAAAGTTCCCAAAAATGGTGTCAACTTGGTAAGAATTGACAAAAATATTACACATCAAATATTGCCAATTTTCTTACTTAGCAGTTTCAAAAAATTAAAATTTCTCATTTTCATTTATAGTAACAAATACTCCATATGTGCTTGATGTTATTTCACTTTCTTCTACACACATCACAACTAAACAAATTTTATTTTATTATTTTACGTGCAAGTCAATTTTAATTTAATTTTACGAGACATAGTTAGTATTATTTTGATTTGGGGCCAATTAATTTGACACCAAATGGCTTGCAAAATTTGTGCAAAGACCAGATAAAATGGAGTATATATGACTTGTAAAATGTTTGTGTGGAATTAATAATAAGCATACTAGTGGATATGCATTGGCGTAGGAATTGTGAATTGAATCATTATGTTGAAGGAGATGAGAGGATGATCGGAGGCGCGGGTAGAGAGAGAAAATATTGTCTGGATTACGAGAACCACTAATTAATTAAATAATTATACATATATTAGATATTTAATTCTTTATCATTAAAACAATATTGACTTTTTGTTCTTCTAAAATCTCTTATTTTTCTATAGATCCTCCCTTTCACATGGCTCAGGAGATCCTCCTATAGATCGATCTCTTACATCTATTTAGATCCATATGAATATATTTAAACTTCCTTCTGATCATTGTTATATTTGGAATGGATCATTTGAATTGAATGAAGGTATTTAATTCCATCTTTCACGGTCAACTTTTCGGCCTTCATCTCCCCCGTACTACTCCAGGCCTATGATCTAACGTCCCGGTAAATACAAAGGTATTTGATCTTTATTTTCTTTTAAACATGCTGGAAAATGGCTAAAACATAATGAGGGTGTTCGGAAAATGGCGTTTGAGCCAAAAAATGACAGTTTGATCCTTTTAACGTTTTCATTTATTGTTTGATAAATAGTTGTTCGGCCCTAGCGTTTTTGGATAGAACCGCAAAATGGAAACGCTGCAAATAGGAGAGTTTTAAATTAGCGTTTTAAAATATGATGTTTTCTACTAATTTTTATTGTCAAATCACTAAATTACCAAACATCTTTTGACAACCCGTCAATTTATTCTGCTAGTCAAACCCGTTAACTGATTCCGCTATTGACAACCCGCTAACATAACTCGCTATCCGCTAACCGTTAAATTCCAAGCACGCCCAATGTTTTGGTCATCTTTGAATTAAAATATAGGAGATCACAACACGCACTCTTTTTGGGCTCACTTTATCTAAGCATCTCTCTTTTACTTCTAAAAAATTTTGCATGCGAATAATAACTTCATAGAAATCTCAATAAGTGTCGTGACATATATATGTATATAAGAATTAGATAATAAAACTATAAAAGAACCCATGACATAATACACTATTATATGGCGCCCCTTTAACTTTGGGACCAACTTAGGCAACACTCCTTGATTCCACTTCACCACGACAACTTAATTTTTGACGTTATTTTGGACAATATTTCTTGTCACGCATCGGACCATATCCGTGCCACGTAGACAACCGCCGTACAACCCAATGTACAATCCAACGGAGATGACCGCAGTCAATCCTCATTGAATTGCATAAGGCGTTTAAAAGATTCATATATCAATCCGATCATTAAGCACATATAAACATTATTAAGGTCAAAGGCACTGCAAAATTAAAGTGTCTGGTGACAAGCCACACGTGGCACACATGAGCACTCAAGCTCCAAAATGTTTACAAAACATTATTTAAAACTATCCATGAGCTTTTACATAATTTTTAAAGCAGAAGTATGAAGCACAAATCACGTCTTCCTATTTAGATGATCACCCAATGCAAAGGTGCACGTAACAAATCCCTAATCTCAACCTGTAAAATAGTAAGAGCCTTCAAAGGGGTCCGTACGACACATATAACAAATGTTTCAAGTATAAGACCCAAACATAGTGTGAAACATATATATAAGGTCATAATCTAAATCACCTCCCCCTCAAGTTAATACCCATAATATATACTTGTAAAATACTCGACCCGCAGGTTATTTGTTTTATCAAACAAAAGACGGATGTAGTTCTCAGATTCCACCCCTTTCCCTCAACATATACCCCAAATATCTAACTCGCAAGTTCTGTCCCATATCCGTAGTGAGTGTTATATTGAGCTTTTCTAGCCCTTGGTCACTCTCCCATACCTATAAGGATTGAATTGGACTTTCCAGGTCCTAGGTTTTACTAGCCCATATTAGGAATGTTCTACTCGATTTCTCGGACCTAGGTCACTCACCACTCCTATGAGTGTTAAGTTTCATTTTCTTGGTCTTGAGTCACCCTCCCATACTCATAAGAGTTGACTTGAACTTTCTTTGTCCTGGGTTTTACTAGTCCATGTTAGGAGTGTTCTACTGGACTTTTCTGGTCCTGAGTCACTCACCCATCTATATGTGAGACAATAATTGAGTAAAGGAATGGCTTACCCATATGGGTGCCGTAGCCTTGTATTTATAATGATAAATATTAAGAGTATTTATACATAGGTCCTTATAATACACTATTACACCCCCCAATCTGTGCAGGGGAAATCACGTGCAGATTAGAACGTAAAAATTCAAAACGCTGACTTAACCGATTTTTAGTAAAAATATCTGCTAACTTATACTGAGCAAGAATGTATTTGACCACCCATGAGCCACACGTTCATGAACAAAGTGAAAATCTATCTTGATGTGCTTGCTGCGATCATGCTGAATAGGATTTACTGCTAGGTAGGAGGCCGAAACATTATCACAGAATAATTTAACCGGAGTGGAAATCACGATGCCCATGTCAACTAGTAAAGAGCGAATAAAGAGTGTGTCTTGGACTGTGTATGCAACTGCCCTATATTCCGCTTCAGTGGAAGATTTGGATATTGTCGGTTGTTTCTTGGAGCGCCATGAAACAAGAATACATCCAATGAAAACTGCATATCCGATGGTACAACGACACGAGTCAGGACATCCGTCCCAATCATCACCGAATAAGCAACAACTACAGAGATACTATGTCCAAATAGAAGCCATATGGCACCCATATGGCTAAACCATTCCTTTACTCAATTATTATCTCACATGGTACTGAGATTTTTTTTCAAAACCATAGCATGTCTTCGTCCACCAGACTTATGCTTTCCATGGTGCCTGCCACGATGGCGCAACCTGTTAGTCCCATAATTTAACAAACAACAATCATAACAAGAAGAATAAGAAGCAGATAGAAAGAAATCGACAAGATTGAACGTGAATCTGGTATACCGTATGAACCTGCCGCTACTCTCCCTGGAGAAGGAGAGCAGCGGCAACCCTAATTTCTCTCTATCTCGCCTCTGCGTCTCTAAGCCTCTAACCATTTTCTAGGTTCCCGTAAGTTAGCCTCCTTTTATAGGAGAAGTTGGCTAACTTACGGGTTACAAGGAAGCCCACGGGCTGATACACATTTGTGGCCCGTATTACACGTTTAATTAATAACTACACAAATACAAAGATAACTAACTAGATTGAACACCATAAAATATTCCCAACAATCTCCCCCTTGGTGATCAATCGTGTTGAATCAGCATTGCAGCGCAGATATCTTTGTCTTTGTTGTTATTTAGCTTCCTTTGTCTTTGAACTTGACTTCTGAGGAAGGCTATCTGAAGGAATCCTTGCAATCTCCCCTTTGATGTCTTCTTGACAATTTGATCTTTGATGCCGGGGGTTGAGGGACCTTCTGTATCTTGCATGTAGTCCTTGCCTTCCAGAAGTTGCTCTTGATCAACTTGGATGAAGTCCGGTGACGCCTCTAGAATGAATATTCTTTGGAGAATAGGAGACGCCCATGGAATTCATCTTCAGGACACGAGTATTTGACCTCTGTCTCCTCCACAATGTAGTCTTTTTGACTATTTGGAATGAATGCATTTGAGGAGAACTTGTCGGTGGCGCAGCGGAACATAATGATGGTTGATTTGTGAGTGTAGCTGACCATTTGATTTGAGTTGCGGAGATAGTAGAGAGGGTGTTGAATTTTGTGATGGAGGAGTGAAGTGTCCCAGAATGATTTGTTCAGTGTTAACAGCATGTGGACCACTCTCCCCCTCATGACGATCCGATGAATCGGGACGTCATGCTTTTATTCTTTTATTCTGCGGAAATAAAAACATGAAAAACAAGCAGAATCTAAAAAAGATAACGTAGCCCCCCGGGGTCGTGAAGACGCCCGTTATCATCACTATAGAGATAAACTCTTAAGCAATGGCCTGAAAATGTTGGTGATTCTTATGTTGCAACAGCAGGACTTCCTTCCAATCATTAGTCTACATCTGCAATAGATGAGACCTATGGAAGTTCTCGCGGGTCATGTAGACCTGCAACTGACTCTAAAAGTGCATCTGTGTCCTAGAAAATTTCAAAACATTTGGGAGTGAGTAACTAGACACGACGTGATCAATGAAAGTTCAGTGGCATGGGGCTGAGGCCACTGTAGTCAGTATTACTTGCCTCGGAAGGAGACAGTAATGAGAGATGCGGTTCCCCGTGAACTATGATTAAACACCTGTCTGTTGGGAGACAAGTGAGTGGTCTAGGGTAGGGTTGTGCATGCGCCGTTTGGACAAAATGCAGCGACTTCTACCCGGGATCTGAATAAATTCAGTCCTGAACCTATGGGGATAGTCCAGAGTATTTTAGTGGCTAGGAGCAAATGTTCAATTCATAGCAGGCAATTGAGTTAGCAGACTCATCATTGATAATTGTTTGTCTTCTCACTTGAGCCTTCTGCTTCCTAATGCTCATAATGTTCACTCACTCACTCGCTCACTCACGCACTTACGCTCGGCTTTGTCCCTTGGGTAGGCTTAGTTGGGTTTACTAAGCCATAGGGACATGTTCTCTCATTACTTTCTCATTTTCTCTCTGTACTCCCCCTCAACTGGAGCACTCGGTATGCTTTGTCATTGTTAGGCATCGGGGAGGATTACTTTGAACACTCCCCCTAGAATGTTGCATCCATTGAGAGATTCCTTGCTTTGTCGGTGTAAGGCGCCAGGAGGAGAAAACTGAAACTCCCCCTCAGAATGTGCAAGGTTTGATTGCTCACAGCTTGTCATACCCGCCATGTGTGTGGAGCAATCTGAACATGTACTACACATGACGGTTTCCTGAACTCATCATGTAGAATTTCAGCATATTGATGATCACATAATGTTGACGAGTCAGGGGAGGCTTCAGCAGTTGATTGTTGATTGTTGTAAGATGATCGTTGACGCGGGGTTGATTGAATTATCTACGATTTTCAGACCTTTACATTGAAGTTTAGAAAAGCTTTGACCTCAGGGTTGACATTGAAAGAATTTGAACAGATTTGCCTAAGTTTTGACCTGGACATCGGTGATTTACAAAGTTTGTCGGAAAACTAACGTTTTGACCCTCAAAGACTGCGAGTGAGGGCGCGTGAGAATGGGTTCTTGGGCATAGCCCGATAAATAATGTAGATCATTTCGTTAGCTTTCTAACATAAAAAAGTTTGCTCAAATTGGATCACTGAGTCAAAAGTTATGGCCAAAACAGTGCGGTGTCGCAGAAAATCTCTAATTTTGAGTTTTTGAGGAATTTCTTCGAAGATGAGGTGCTCGATGTTGAATGTCGAGAGCAGGTGGATTTTAAACAAAATTCTAGAGATTGCCTTGAAGAATAATGGCCAAATCCACCTGCAAAATAAACCTCAGAATATCGAAATCTGCAGAATTTCAAAATGTTTGAACATCGAAAACTTTGGAGTTTCGAAAACCCTCATAATCTCGAAAACTTGTTGTTTGAAAAATATCAGAACATCGAAAACTCCTGAAACATTTATAAGCAGGGAATCATTTAGAGATCATATAATGTAAAGCTTCGATGAACTGCAAAGGATGTCAAGATTCGAATTATGAGTTCCAAGAAACTGCAAACTTTGAAAGATTCAAAACATCGAGAAATTTTGAAAATCTCGAAATCTTCAGAATGTCGAGATCCAAAACATCGAGATCCCAAATGTCGATATCCCAAAACTCGAAATTCCTAAACTCGAAATTCCAAATCTCGAGATCACAAATCTCGAGATCTTGATATCGAGATTCAAATCTCGAGATCTTGATTTCGAGATTCAAATCTCGAGATCATGATTTCGAGATTCCAATCTCGATATCAAGATCTCGAGATTCAAATCTCGAGATCAAGATGTCGAGATGCAAATCTCAAAATCGAGATTTCGAGATTCAAATCTCGAGATCAAGATGTCGAGATGCAAATCTCGAAATCAAGATGTCGAGATGCAAATCTCGAGATCTCAAAAGTCGAGAAGAAGAAATCGAGTCCCTAAATGTCGAGATCCTGCAAAACGAAAACATTGATTTTTGAAAATCTGAAACCTGTTCTGAATAGCCCTGAAAGTCGAGATTCTCCTGTATCAGTTTCAAACCAAAAACGTTTCTGCAGCAGTGAAAAATAAGGATTTCGAGATCTCAATGTAGAGATCTTCGAAATATAAAAATTGCAGAAAACGAAAAAAGAGGTATGCTGCTGGATCGGTTTTGAAAGGCGAATCCAACAGTATGATTTTTACAAAATTTCGTTCACAAACGAGATTACAGGAGCAAATCTCTACATGAAGAAAAACAGAAGAAAAAACAGAGCAGTTCTTCGTTAGATCCAAAAAATCGTAGACAGATCCAACCTGTTTCACGCCTCGGCTCTGATACCAAATGTTAGTCCCAGAATTTGACAAACAACAATCATAACAAGAAGAATAAGAAGCAGATAGAAAGAAATCGACAAGATTGAACGTGAATCTGGTATACCGTATGAACCTGCCGCTACTCTCCCTGGAGAAGGAGAGCAGCGGCAACCCTAATTTCTCTCTATCTCGCCTCTGCGTCTCTAAGCCTCTAACCATTTTCTAGGTTCCCGTAAGTTAGCCTCCTTTTATAGGAGAAGTTGGCTAACTTACGGGTTACAAGGAAGCCCACGGGCTGATACACATTTGTGGCCCGTATTACACGTTTAATTAATAACTACACAAATACAAAGATAACTAACTAGATTGAACACCATAAAATATTCCAAACACAGCCGTCTCTCTTCGGTCCACCATCGCACACCAACACAATGGTTTCAACTCTGGCGCCCACAACAACCACACAACAGCCTCCCTCAAAATAAATAATTTTGATCATATGTTGATTCTAAATTACTATGTAAAATCAAGGCCAGCTAGAGCAATTATGAGGCCCTAGACGGTCATGTAGAAATTTTGTTTTAAATATGTTTTAATTAACCCAATGATATAAAAAATAGCAATTAAATATAAGTAAATTACATATAAAATACATCATATACTATTAACACAGTGAGAATATTCTTCGAAATCAGAAGATCAAAGTTGATGAAAAAATACAAAGTGCCCTAGAGGGAGAAGGTTTTGTGTTTACATACAACATACCGATCGATAGAGCCGGAAAGTGATTTCATGACCAAATCATTTCTTAATTTTTTTCTTTGTCTTTGTACATCTTGATTCATATTTTGTTTTCCAATCATCACAAAACATAAAATTTCATTCAAAATAATACTATCACTAAATATAAGTTAATGGTTCATAGATATAAATTTAATTCACTAAATTTAATCAAATATAAAAAATTATAAGTATGTTCAATATTTCGATGAATCAAAATAACAAATTACAATTTCAATTATTCAATAAGCATTCAAATATATTTAGAATACTCATTATCCTAAATCCCTAGCCCTACTGCCCTAGCCAACAAAGAAAAAAAAGGAAAAAGGAGCAAATAAGCCCACATACTAACCAAAAAGGTCAAATAAGCTCTTGTATAAGAGACTTTGTCCCGCCATCGCCATTTGGGGCAGTTCTCGGTGTAATTGTTTGATGAATTTTTTTGAGAATCTTATTCATTAAGTCTTGTTTACTTATACCAAATTTCAGCTAACAATTCAACATGGAAGGCGTTCAAATAAATTCTTGAAGATAACTTCGCTTTTAACTGCGCAGTTATCTTCAAGAATTCATTTGAATGTCTTCCTCATTGAATTTTTAGGTGAAATTTGGTATGAGTAAACTAGACATAATGAATAAGATTCTAAAAAAATCATCAAAAAATTACAAAGGAAACTATCCCAAATATTGACGGCCGGACAAAGTCTCCTAAATAATATTAATAAGCTTATTTTATAAATTAGAGGCCCCTAAAATTTGGAGGCCCTAGACACTTGTCTAGGGTAACTCCCCCTATGGCCGGCCCTGTGTAAAATAAGGTAGGTTCTAAGTACCCATAAAAAATACCATAAAATAATTGCTATCACCCAACGGCAACCACACTATTATAAATAATCCTCCTCATCACCAATTTCATTCTTAAATCTTAATTACAGTTTCATGGATGAGGATGCCTTGATTCAAAGGTGACAGATCTCTGTATATTGTCTTTAAGGTCTTGTTTGGTTCAATGGAGGGGAGGGAAGGGGAGAGTCAAGGAGGGAAGGGAAGGGGAGGAGAAAGAAAGATTTTGATAAAAATTTGTATTTGGTTGGAGGAAATAAGAGGAAAGGTTTAATGAAAGTATTTCCGCAATTTACTTTTATTTGATAGCTTACTTAAAAAACTAGATACATGTCTAACTAGTTTGAATATTACTCCTATGGTCATGAGTCATAATTTAATTTTATTTGATTTTTTACCTTTTTGATTTTACATTTTTTCATTTTTCAGTTTGGAATTTTTAATTCTTTATTTTTATTTTTAATTTTTAAAATTTTTAATTTATAATTTTTAAATTTTTTAGTTTTTAAAATTTTATTTTTTTAATTTTTAAATATTTTAATCTTTAAACTTTTAATTTTTTAATTTTTTAATTTTTTCAAAACTTTTTGTTTTTTACCTTTTTATATTATAACATTTTGTTCATTCACGTAGGAGATGGATAGTTTGTGGTTATCAACACGTTTCCTCCGAAATACCCTGAATTGGGGGATTTAGAATGAGAGGAAGTAGAGGATTTTGAAAGTCTTCCACTTTCCTCCCCTTCCCTCTATTTCCTTCAACCAAACACACACAAATCCCCCACGTTCCTCCCATCCCCTCCAAAACCCTCCGACCAAACAGGGCCTAAATGATTAATTAATTACTTTCAACTTTAGATGAGATGTTTCTTGATTAACTTTTGCGGGCAAGTGATTCAAAGTTTTGAACTTTCCATTAATAATTTTAGATCTTTTTTTGAATTCACGGGATTCTTAATATGGAAAGTTAAACAACTGGGGTAAGATACATCTGTTTCTCAAACCAGGTTTTAACAGGTTTGATCGGATGTGATGAAAGATACAATCTTGGAGACAGGCAAAAGAACTGTATATTCTTGATCCATATGGAAGACAGGGGAAGCGGCGGAAAGGTCACCGGAATCCGACAGATAGTGAGGCTGAAAGAGATTCTTCACAAGTGGCAAAGCGTCACTCTGGGTCAGAAGAGACCCAAAAATGACGATCATTCATCTGCTCCGGTGAATACCCAACAGCCACCGCCACCGCCGCCGTACAACGGGATATCTCCTGCGGTATGCAAGAGGCTGATGAGCTGCAGCTCCTATTGCGACTCAGACGAAGAAAGTTGCCAGAGCCCTGACCCACCGCCCGGCGTCCCGAGAGGCTATTTGGCCGTTTACGTGGGGCCGGAGCTCCGGCGGTTCATCATTCCGACTAGCTACCTCAGCGACCCGCTGTTCAAGGTGTTGCTGGAGAAGGTGGAGGAGGAGTTTGGGTTTGACCACAGTGGTGCGCTGACCATTCCGTGTGAGACAGAGACCTTCAAGTATCTGCTGAAATGCATGGAGAATCACGAGAAAGAACAGGGTATGCAAATTGTTTAATAGAAGTTGGTCAATCACCAAAACATTGATAAATTAAAGGAGAACTATCAAATAAACCCTCGAACTTTCATAAAAAGTGCAAATAAGTCCTTTTATAGGAGACTTTGTCCGGCTGTCGCCATTTGGGACAGTTTCCGGTGGAATTGTTTGATGAATTTTTTTGACCATCTTCTTCATTAAGTCTAGTTTATTCATACCAAATTTCAGCTAAAATATCAATCGAGAAGGCAGTCAAATGATTTTCTGAAATATACCGGGCTCCCTAACTGCGCAGTTATCTTCAAAATCTCATTTGACTACCTTCCCGATTGCATGTTTAGCTGAAATTTTGTATGTGTAAACTAGACTTAATGAAGAAGATGGTAAAAAAAATTCATCAAAAAATTCCACCGGAAACCGCCTCAAATGGCAAAGACCGGACCGAGCCTCCTATAAAAGAGCTTATTTACACTTTTTATGAAAGTTCGAGCGCTTATTTGATAGTTCTCCCATAAATTAAAGTTAAAAACAGGACTAAACAAGTAAGATTTTCAGGTGGTATTATTCATTGAATCATCATATTAGAAGAAGAGGAAAGAGACAAATAAGCTCTCGAATTACCGACTCCGCAATCGGACCCTGAACCGAAGAACTTGCAAATACATCCTCAACTCATAGGGAATTAAAGTAATAATATCTCTTTTTACCTATTAGTGTAGGTAAGGAAATAACATTCTCATGAGAATTTACCGGCATTAACATGTAAAAATGATCTGATAACTTAATTTTCAATGAGTTGAAAGGTATATTTGCAAGTCTTCTGCTTCAGGTGCTTGATTGTAAAATCGCTAATAGTTGGATGGTGTATTTATTCCATTCTCTTAAAAGAATAAGTTGGTGAAAACTTCTCAAAATATGATTGAATGAATCCTATTTTGAGAATATAACAATGATAGTCCTATATTTAACTTTATCAATGTTTTTGGTCCTATTTACAAATTTTCTTTTTAATAGAAATTGGCATAATATTGAGAATTGTGTTATTGAAGAAAAGAAAAAGTGGAAAAAATTAAAGAGATGAAACTAGTGTTTAATTTAGTTTTGAATGAAGGGCAATTCCCCAAAACTATTCTAATTTTGATCATGTTTTGTCTAGATTAATTGTGATTCCATTTGGTTTAATCTCATTTGATTTGTTAGGATAAATTGAACATAATAAAAGTTTACTTTATATTAGCTTTTATCTTAAACTTACCCCTCCCATTTAGGAACAACTATTGGCGTAAGAGTGGTCGTCCAATCTACTAAATCAAACCAAATTTAAATAGACCGTATCGGATTATATCGGACTTGATCAAATCATGCTTAAATAGACCATATCAAATCATATCGGATTTGAACAGATCAAATCAAAAAATTTCAATTCAAGTAAAAAACACTCTTAATACATTTTTTTACTATATAGTACTGGATCAAAATATATTTCTAACTCGCCTAGTCGCCTTTAATTTAAAGTAGGGAGAACTATCAACTAAGCCCTCGAACTTTCATAAAAAGTGCAAATAAGCCCTGTTATATGAGACTCTGTCTAGCCGTCGCCATTTGGGCGGTTTCCGGTGGAAGTTTTTGATGAAATTTCTTCAGTATATTCTTCATTAAGTCTAGTTTATTCATACCAAGTTTCAGCTAATATTTCAATCGGGAAGACAGTCAAATGAATTTTTGAAGATAACTGCGCAGTTAGACAGCGCAATATATTTCAGAAAATCATTTGATTGCCTTATCGATTGAATTTTTATCTGAAATTTGGTATGAGTAAACTAGACTTAATGAAGAAGGTGGTCAAAAATGTTTATCAAAAAATTCTACCGGAACCCTCCCCAAATGGCGACATCCGTACAAAGACTCGTGTAAAAAGGCTTATTTGCACTTTTTTATGAAAATTCGAGGGCAGATTTGACAGTTCGCCAATTTAAAGTATGAGCATCCGAAAGGTGGAGCTGATATGTGGGCTCGATTATTGCCCAATGATTCTATTGTATAAATGTAAACATGTCAGCCTTCCTACGGCCCAATTAAATGTTGTGTCCAACTTTTGTGTCATTTAGTTAGTGAAGCGTGAAATTGATAAAATGTGGATTAGTTAGGGAAGGAATGAAATAATATGATAATTTTGTATTAAAGGATCAAAGTCCATTTTATCTTCCAAAATCAATTCACTCCAATCGTAAAACCTTCAATTAGAAACATTAACTAAACCAAAGGATGCAAATTACTTACGCATGCATGGCAAAACATGCTTCGAGACATTTAGAGCTGGTTTGGTTCATCCGGTTATTTCGCTTGTTATACATACATAGGTACCTACATATGTACATGCGTATGTACGTACGTACATACATACATACTACGTATATATGTGTATTCAGTTTCAAATTTGTGTATTATTTCAAGTAAAATGTGCACTACAACAAATCAGAAAATTAAATATGGTGGCAATTCTACAAATACATTAAACATATTGGGGGTGTTTGGGTAATAGTTTTTTAACACCAAACACCATTTTTTTCTAATAGCAAGTGCTGGCAAATGCAGCGTGTTGCCTGCCAACCGCCGAAATACAAACGCCCCCATAATGCCATTCTTAAGTGTGTCATATTTCAACTAGAGATAAGGATAGCGAGATTAATTAGTGTAGCAACATACAAGATAAATCTATATGTGGTTAAATGAAGCGTTGGAGTATATGTATCGTGGTCCAAAATGACAAATTGATGAGTCTAAGCCTATATACTCCATAAGAATCATCCACTTTGTGTGGCGGGAGTACTCGAGGTGAAACGGAGTATAACTTTCTAAAACCATCTTCATTGGTTGATTTTTTGACATACATGCTTGTTGTTTCCAAGGTTGATCGAGCTTTGCTTGTCTAAACTTGACTCCTTCATGACCGAGCTCATGAGCTCTCCCATTTTACTCTATCTTATGATGGGGTTATTAAGTCCCATGTCCTTAAGTGTCCCACTCCTTAAAGTGAGTGGAGACGAGGTGAAACGCAAAAGAGTAGTGGCACCTTTGTATGAAGGGCCACCACCCTTATTGCTCTTCTTTAGATTCATTTACTCCTCCCTAGGCTGAGAAACCAACACCATTGAATTAGGAGGTGCCTCATCAAACCCTTATGAGGAAAAACCCCTTTAAGAAAAAAATCATAGTGAAGAGGGGATAGTACACTAAAGCCTCAAAGTTAAGCATGAATGTGAATACCATTTTTAATCTAATAATCTTTGATCCATCATAGAACAATAGATCTCCTCTCTGTGTTCCTCTACATTTATCCTTAGAGTTTTCCCTTTTTTCTCCGCCTTCAACCTTAATTAGGTGTTTGCCTAATTTTCTGGACCGTTTGACGTCATCTTGCTAAAACCAATCTTCACTCAACTTCAATGGCATCTATTAACTAAAGAAATAGCTATGGTCGGTTTTCATTCACGTGAAATAGATGTACAACAACTACAACAACCAAGCCTTAGTCCCAACAGATTTTTTGGTCGGCTAACATGAATCGATACATGGTATCATAACCAAAAGGATAATAAAGATAAAACAACAACATCCAAGCCTTAGTCCCAAAAGATTTTGGGGTCGGCTAACATGAATCGATCCATGATATCGATGTCAAAAAGAGAAGACATGCAATAAAAAAATAAAATGGATAAGATAAAGATAAATAAATAAATAGAAGAAAAACAATAACATAAGAAAGATAAAACATAAAAAGATAAAAGAGCATTAAAAAGGCTAATAGATAAAAATAACATAAGAACATAAATGATAAAGATGATAAATGATAAAAGAAAAAGATAGAGGAAAGATAGAAAAGAGATCAATCGTCCACATGAATGTGCGCCCTCCACTTTGCTCTCTCCAAAGCCATACTCTCATCCAACCCAAGGAGATGCATATCAGATTTGATTCCTCTAATCCAAGTCTGTTTGGGTCTTCCCCTCTCTGTCTCTTCTCCCCACCTCTCAAGTCATCTAACAGGTGCATCACTCGGTCTTGTACACACATGCTCCAACCACCGCAAATGAGACTTCTACATCTTATCTTCAATAGGTGCTACTCCCACCTTTAGTCTGATTATCTCATTCCTCAAATGGTCTTTTCTGGTATGTCCACACATCTAACACAACATACGCATCTCTGCAACACTCATCTTTTGAATGTGATATTAGTTCACTGCCCAACACTCTACACCATACATTAATGCAGACCTAATTAATGTTCGATAAAATTTACCCTTCGGTCTAATCGGCATACACCGGTCGCATAAAAATCCTGATGCACTCTTCCATTTCATCCACCCAGCTCTGATTATATGGGATACATCTCTATCTAGTTCATCATCCTTCTAGATTATGGAGCCCAAGTAACGAAACATATCACACACTGGTATCTCTTTACCATCAAGAGTAATCCCATTGTTGCTACTACTTCTACCTCCACCAAACTTGCACTCCATATGCTCAGTCTTGCTTCGGCTCAGTCTGAAACTCTTGGTTTCCAATGTTTGTCGCATACTTCCAACTTCATTTTAACACCCGATTGCGTCTCTTCAATCAATACAATATCATCAGCAAACATCATGCACCATGGTATATCTTCTTGAATTGACTTCGTAAGTTTATATATGACTACAACAAATAAGAAAGGACTCGGAGCCGATCCTTGGTGCATTCCGATAGTAATAAGGAACTTTGCGGTCCTCCCTACACTAGTACGGACACTTGTAGTACAAGCCTCATACATATCCATGATGATACTGATATACTTACGTGATATGCCTTTTCTAGTTAAGGCTCAACAAAGGACTTCTCGAGGTACTCTATCATATGCCTTTTCTAAGTCAATGAACACCAAATGTAGATCCTTTCTAGTGTCTCTATACTTCTCCACAACTTGTCTAAAAAGGTGAACAACCTCAGTTGTTGAGCATTTGTG